AAAAAAGTCTAATGATGCGAATTAGCCCTCTGGGGGAGTCCATTTAGACTTTCGAGTCCGAAGTGTTTCGAAAGTGTCTTTGTCACTACATGTACAATGCATTATAGCGCTGAATATCTATGCCTGCTACGTCAAAAAAATTGGCCAATTGCAGATTTCAAATATTCTGCCAATCTTCCGTTTAGCTGAGGAAATTCCTCACGTAGAACTCTCTGTACACGCATGAAAATTAAAACAAACATTTCAGCGATTAAATATTGGGACGCGGTTTGAAAGTCTTCGTAACATGGAAATAGCTTTGGAAAACGTAAAGAGAAGGATGCAGGAAAGAGTAAGCCGCTACAACCTTGGCCAATGGAAGCAGTTAAAAGTTAATAAAACTGATCGATAAATTGTTGAAATCCATGATCCGTTAACAAGGAAGCCTTATTTTTTAGCATCGTGGAAAGCAATTATTGAACTGTAAGCAACGTTTAGCTTTTCGTAAGATTTAAAACTTGTTAAAGAGTTTAAATTTCTAATCCGGTTCCCAAACTTCAATAAAATTCTAGTAACTAGGCATAAATGTGTGCATCAGATTTTATCTTAGTCTCCCTGCATGTTGATAGAGATCCAAAACTTGAATAGGGCTGAAAAAAGGAGCCGAGTGTCTTTAAACATTACTTTACTCGGGGTCGGTCTTATCGTTTTCCTGGAAAACATTATCTATTGCCAGACATCGCCTGTGATTGTACGCAAATTTTATGTTTTCTATAAGCTTATTTAAGGCTTCTACTTTTCTTAGTATTTGAAACGCAGCCGCAAAAATAATAAACCTAAGCCCCACTTGCGCCAGCGAGTCATCCTCGGCATACCGCTGCTCCATAATCCTCGTGATACCTAATCCATCGAGACTTTTGCCACTCAAAACTGGCCCAAAAAGCCTAGGTAGTTCCTGGTAGCCATCCATAGATCGGCCAGAGACACGACTTCACTCGTGAACTCGCCAAGGTTGCATGAAAGCATTTTGGCGGTCCAGTCTACATGAAACCACCTCTCACCTCTGTTTTCTTTCAGAGGCTTGCCACTACCCACATTCCAGCTTAATGATGCTGTCCTGAGGGTTTCTGTAGGGGGAAAATGGCTGGAAAAACACTTATGAACGCGAGAAAACGAATCGATTTGAACGCATCCAAACACGAGCGGGTGATGTAGGTCCCGTGACCACAAAGTCTGAAACCGCGGTGTCTCAAAACCGCAAATATTGTAAGGGATACTTCATATAACGACAAACCAAGCGAGCTTTAGTTTTGTATGGCCAAATTATAAGGTTTTTTGTCTGCTGGCAGCCGGAGGGTTAATCACTTTACTGACGTACTACTATCCTCTGTATAGAACATTTAAATTAGCCTAAAATCGCTGGGAAACGAAGGATTTTCAGCTTGGGAATGCAAAATATAAATTTTTACCAAAAATAGAGTGTATGCTGGAAAACTGCAAGTAATGTATAATTGGGGGGTACTTATATTTACATATGCTACAGAGAAGTTTAACACTGCCTTTTTTAATCATATCAGATCAACTGGGCATGATGTTCATGTAAGCTAACTGGATACTTGTATAAGTTATCTTTTAAAGGCTGGAATTTCAAACGTTGTTTTAAAACAGTGGTAAAATGGAATGGAGTGAACAGAAAGACATTCTCCTGTGCCATGAAGTCTTGCAGGCTGAGCCATACAGGGCTAAAGAGAAGACTGTGGGCAGGGCACAGATATGGGAGAAAATTGGCAACATTTTCAACAAAACAGCAGAGTTAAAAGTTAACAAGAGGTCTGGAAAAATTAAAAAAAAAGACTTCACAAGAGTTAAAAGCCAGTGGCATCAGTCCTGAGCCAACCAAGCTGGATAGGCTACTTGAAGAAATCATAGAGAGAGCTGAGGCCTGTGATCAGTCAAGAGATGAGGAGGATGATAAAGCAAGAGAGAAAAAAACAGAAAGAACAAGAGCAAGCTAAGGATATCAGGCTCAAAGCCATGGAATGGTTGAGCGAAACGAAGAAACGGTCACTTTCAGATGGGGATGGTGAAAATCAAAACAAGGCCAAAAAGAGGCGATCTAATGGAACTGAAATGGTGGCGTATTTGAGGGAGCGGGCAACTGAAGAGAACAGGCTAAAAGAGAGAGATATAGAAATAAGATCTGTGTAGTTGGAGAAAGAGACTGAGAGGCAACAATTGCTTGACAAGCAGCATAACAGCCTGATGCAACTGCTGTTACAACAGCAGCAGCTGCAAC